AATGTACACAGACATTAATGAGAAAGAAAAAATTATTTGACAGTGTTTGACATATTGTTTACAATATTGTTTAGCATAAAGTGACAATTATTAATAAGCTGTGATTTATATCATTTTAAATATAACCACATAAAGATGCCAAATCTTACCAAAATAATGTTTTAGTCAAAATTGTACGGTCAAAGTGATCCTTCATTATGCTGTCACATGAAAAGTGTTGTGAAAACTAGTCACTATTTCGTTGAAATCAATCATGTAAAGGGGTGTTAAAAAATGTGATGCACAAGACACACTGTCATGAGAAATGACACATAAAATCAGCTGTGAGAGATTATGAAAGAGAGGCTTAACCTCTCAAGATGGTGACACATTCTAGCAATGTCCATTACAAATTAACACTAATGCTACAGGGAATGTTTTATTTATTAAAATGAAAATCAAAGAGAAAAAAGTTAATATTGCTGCTTTAAAAATAGATGCTACAGTTACATGTATGTAGAATTATTCAATCACTGAATTTGCAGATTAATAAGTACAGCAATATTGTATTTATTTGATGGTCTATGAAAATTCAGCCTGGATATTTTATTATGCCTTGACTATAGCAACCTTTTCTTCTGATCCCAATAGTCTTATACATCAGTGGTCATGTCATGCAACAGTTAGTGTGGTTCTGCCCCATTTCTCATGTAGGTTTGACTGAATTCTAAATTTACATCATGTACTAGTACATGCAATAACCGTTTTATAAAAACTTTATACAAACCTACTTCAATGATATTTTCACTATTGGTCTCCAGTGTCATTCAAGATCATATCATGTCATTTTATATTCGTTAAAATATTTCTCCAAATTATCTTTAAATTTAATATTTGATTTGAACTTCTGTGAAAAACAGGAATAATATTAGTCGATTAGTGCAAATTGTTGTACAATTTATATTAGCGTAAACTGTTGCGAACAGGCCCACATAGTTCTGATGAAATCAGAGTAGCAGCAAACACAGAGTTGTCATTCGGGTTTATTCTGTGAGTATACTGTACTAATACCTGTATCAAATATTTATGCGCCATTAAAGCACATTACATAAATGATGCCTATAAAGCTGCATAATACATATATTACAAAATTTACATATATATTACAAGTGCATCCCCAGTAGAAGAATAAACTGCATTTTGCTATCTTTACATTGTAAGAGGGCATCAAAGCATGCTCCAAAACTCACATACCGGTATATCTAAATTGTGTAAAATAATCTGTCTAACCATGTCTCATATTAGTGGCTAAATACTACAAAGAATAAGTTGAAATTATTGATGGAAATAATACTTGCTTTAAAAATAAGTGTTTATGTATACTCAGTAAGGGAAAGCTTACTGATAGGCAGCGAGGAAGTTAAGTTACACCTGACTGTACTGTATTTAATTATATTACTAAATACACTAAATGTGCAGGTGTTTGGTTCCCAATGCATAATTTCACATCAAGTGCAGACCTTTTACGTAATTAAATAACATTATACGTCTGCCCTAGCCTTAATAGTAATAAAGAGCATGATATATTACCGTGTCCATTATGGTTGCGTATTAAAAAAGATTAACTGCCCTGTGCCCTCTTCCAGAGTGCTTACATGTAATTATTCAATGGTGGAAAGTGATACGCTTCATCAGTCCAAATGCTGCCTTCTTCATTTGCTTATTTTTAATGTTTACTATGGTTGCACTCTCTTTTACATTCGTTAGTTATTAAATCTATCAACTTTTCATTCACGATTTTCTCCATGTTTTCACATTTTCACAAATGTAGCGCTTTAAGTAATTGATAATTCAACAGCATAAATTTAGGCTAGTAAATTGTCTTTTCATTTTAAAATATGAAAAACACGTTTTAAACATTTTATTTTTAATTTCTTACCTTGAAGTGGTAACATAGTTACATGCCTCAAAAACCTTGTACATGTATATGTATGGCTTGCATATTGTTACTGTTTTGTGTGCGCGTGTCTGGAAATCTTTTAATGTCTGAAAATTATTATTTAAGAATCTGAATCCTTTAATTATTGTTGTATCTATGGCAACACTAAATTATATACATGCTTGTACTTCTACCACATTTGGTCATGTGAACCATTCAACTTTATTTCTGTAAACCAATTGTATCTATGGTAGTACAATGTGTAGTCTATATGGACTTGCTACAGCTTTTGCGACCCAAGGTCCTATGACAGACACCATTAAAAATAAATGCAATCGTTTTGAACTACTGGTGTTTCATTTATCTTGTTTTATTATTCTTATTTCTACCATTTATACTTCCATTCACATTGTGGATTGAGATTACTGTGTCTGACGTCGTAACATAAACAAGACACGCGAACGTTATAACGACCGCAACTCAAACTACCGCAACTCCTTCTAACTAGTATCCATCCACCAAGAACCCTGACAATAACTCGTATTCTTTTGAATGTTGTTAGATTTCTGCCCTAAATATCTCCCAGTCTTTTATAAAGGCAAACCCCACAACATAAAAGCAAAATTTTGTTTTGTCAATATCAACGCAAACCGTGTATATACAAACTGTCATCTTCGGAACATAATATACCAGTAACTGGAACCAGTTGGAGGATGTGCCATTCTAATTCTATAAAAGTATAATTGTATATGGTCAAACAGAGCCAGATGTGATATGCAAAATTATTGCACGGCTCACTTGTTTGGGTTCTCCTAGTGTTACAAGGTCCGGCAAGATTATTTGATATGGGGTTTGAACCCACAACATCAACCAGAGCAGGTTACCAAATCAATGGCATTCTCAGTAAACATGCACTTTAGAATGGTCATTTCATTTTATATTTTTTTTGTGGTAAACACTCACTCAGTATACAGATATACACATATTTATTTTGAGCTGTTATGATTTTGAAAAGTTATGAAATTTGTTTCTGACTACTGAATTTTAACTTTACAAAACAAATGTGTGAATTTTATTTTGATTAGCATGGCGTATTTCAACCAAATCTTTGCTTGCAATAAATAGTAAGTAGTTTAAAATTTGTTATTATTCTTGATAATTTGTGCAAAGTTACATGCACTAATGTATGATATTGCAAATATATGCAATCTGAATAAAAACTACTTGACAGATCAGTGGTCAGATATTCACAACTGAATTATTTTATTATTGTTATATTATTGTTACAGAGTGTGCCATGGTTTGTACAAAGAATATTTGCTTCAAGGTAATCTGATCGGTAATGAAATGGAAAATTGTGAGGTGACTTTCAAAAAGATGGAGGACTGTGGTCATTAACACATATGTACACAGTGACACTGATGGCAGCCGGAAACTGCTGGTACATATCAGTTTAGTGTCCGCTCTTCAACAATGACCAAAATTGAAATTGAAATGTTCTGTAATGGTAAAGGCATGATGAAATACTGAACACCACAAATCATTGACTTTTTTAAATAAACAAAATGAACAATAAACCAGAGCATAAATGAGTCAAAGAGTGGTAATTTATTATTATTACAAAAAGCATAAATAACACTAACTAGCGACATTTATGATTTTAATGCTGTGTAGTTTTTTAAATATGATTATAAAACACAGTATTCAGTTCATCTGTATATTTGCATCAGCATGGTAAAACCCTCATTTGTATTCGTTGTCCTAAGTATCTGTTCATAACAGCCACATGTTTAGAGTGAAGACCCCTTCTTTGACCGCATATAAAAATGTGTAACCTGAAATTATGCATAAATTATGATAAACAGAATTAACATGTTAAATTGCTGCACTGACTAGTGGGTGGTAATATAACAGCTGTAAATAACCATGTGTCTATGTTAGCAATGTAATAATTTATTTCCATTTATGGGAATCCCATGATGCATCACTCCATGTGTTCTGCAGTTGTGCCAGTGTATAGTATCTACTTGTCATCCATTTAAACTACTCCTTCTGAACTGAACACGTACTGAATAGTAATGCATGTCTATGACTCGCATAATAATGTTTTTAGATTTGTGAGATTAACCCAGGTATATGAAATTAAGGAAGTACTTGATAAAGACTTAGACCAATTTTAATTTGACAGAAAAGAAAACATTAATTACAAATCAAAAAATGTAGTGTTGAAATATAAATATTGAATGTGTAGTCTAGCTGCTAAATGTGTTGTTCAACCACGTGACCCAGACTGATTGTTATTATGATAATTTAAGTCTACACATACCATACATGGTGATAGCGAAACACTGCTCTGTTCTTTTACTGTGTTCTTTCCAATCTCAAGTTTGGTGGCTTATTTGCATATGAACAGTAGTTGATTTACTACTGAAGTACTGTAAAACCATTTATTTTCACTGTTTTCATATTTTGGCTGGATTTTGGCTTTTAATTTCACAAATTTTCAAATGTTCTATCGAAAAAATAAGTTTATTGTTATTTTTACTTGTGCACATGGTTTTAATACAGCGGATGTTACTTATATTGTATCAGGGAAAATAGCAAAATTAAAACTCAGTGAATAATTAATGCATTTACAGTTAAATTGCCATGTAATCTTCAAAGGTGATTAATTATAAATCTAAAACAAGTCTTGAGGGAATATTCTTTATTCCATTTCTAATAATGTGTGAAAATAAATTAAAACATTTACTATGCTAGTGTGTGAGGAATCCTCTGCCATTATAACGAGGTCAATCTCAACAATTTAACTAAACATGTGTTTAATAAATTCATTACCATAATTGGCAAATTAGCATGATTACATGCTTAGATTGTATAGCCTAAACCATTACATGTAGTTGTCAGATTACATGCAACATTACATGTACAATGTAGTTGTCAGATTACATGTAGTTGTCAGATTACATGTAACATTACATGTAGTTGTCAGATTACATGTAACATTACATGTAGTTGTCAGATTACATGTAACATTACATGTAGTTGTCAGATTGCATGTAACATTACATGTAGTTGTCAGATGACATGTAACATTACTCAGGTTAGTATTGGTATGCATCAGGGTTAGTTGTTGTTGATCAGTAAAACTATCATGTCCTATAGCTTTAGTAGGAACCTGCAAACATGTACCTGTATGACCAAGCTGCAATAAATCTTGGCTTTCATTCAGTACACTCTTATCTGATTAATCAGCCACTGGAATCTGCTACTGCTACCCTTCCCAACTCTTCCCCTCAACCCTGACCTTTGCATTGCTTTTGAATATAAACATATGTTTATAATATGATCATCAATTGGTTTTGTTTTGTGCAAGTTTGGATGGCAGCTACATACTGTACTGTAAAATAGCTACTTTTCACTGGGTTTAAATTTTGCTGATTTACCATTTCAGGCATATTCAGTGGGTTTTAAATTCACTGTTTTATCATTTAGATAATGTGTTCTATGCTAAATTTTACATATTCACTGAGTTTTAATTTAGCACATTTTTCAGTCAGCGAAATTAAAACCCAGTGAATAATTAACCCCTTTACATTATGTATAATATCCCCAAAAAAACATGTGTTCAGCAACATTATGTCTGGTTAAATTATTTAAATTTGTTATGATGATGTCACTTCCCTGTTTAAAAACAATGAGTGTAATGTGGGATTTCTATTATACATTGCATGTTGTGCAGAATGAATTTCTCCAGATTTGTTATTGTTTGTGTGGGTCATCTGTTGTTGTTTGCTGCAACATAGACCTGACAATTAAACCTCCCATTAATATTCTGAATCTTTTTTTTGTAGGCAAGAGAGTCACCAGAACCTACATTTGACATCTCAAGATGTGAAATATCTGAAGTGAGTACATCATTATTATTTTGTGAGCTCACCCCTCCCCCTTACTTTGGTTTGCAACAACAATTCAGTGTTTTACAACTTTCTGGGGGAGATTGGAGACAGCTTGTTTCTAAACTTGAATATTTCAACTTAGTTTGAAGTGTAGTGATTTTAGAATCAGTGTGATATGACAATGACTAAGAACTGTTCACCAATTCACTAATTTATGAAATATAAGCGTCTTCTGAAATGCATTGTAATTTCGTCTTTCAGATTCCCAGTGGAGTTTTTTCACTATGCAAAGTTTTCAGGAAAGAGGTATGTACTTTTTGGATGTATTAATTAATCCTGGGGCATTAAACCGATGCTCATTCTCCAGTTGTGTTTAATAAACCCAAAATGATATAATTCCGGTTTGGATGAGTCATCACACTTATTCACCCAGAAATTAACCTACTGGTACATACAAAATCATAAATGGAGACAGCGCCCCCTGTGTTCAAATATTCATTTCTCTTGTTTTATTTGCTTCACCACTAAGAAAAACAAACACACTTCATAAACTTGTATTACTTCAAAGTTTGATATTCCAATGTACAATATTTGTTTGTATATTTCCAGGCGTTGCTGCTCCATGACAATTGGTTGAGTTCTTTCAGAGGTGGTGGAAGCCTTCGTGATCTTGCTACTTTAAGGGTGAGAGTTTTGTGTGTCTGGATAAAGCAGTTATTAAATCTTTATTAGCACTTGTACCTGTTGTATTCAACTGACGCATTGGATTACATGAAGTACAATCGTTCTAATATTTTAAGTTATTTCTGTGAACAAAAATTTTGGATTCAGGTTAAGCCAAGGTCGATTAGGAAATAATAATGGGAAACCTTTACAGCGAGCGCAAGATATTTACATACACCTAACTCGCGCACCCGGTAGGTAATTACCAAGGGACTTTGCAACATCCCCAGACACTTTGCTAGACGCCCCAACGACTGTTGTAGACGCAATAAACTTACATACACTCTCACGTGACAGTTAATCAAAACACCGGACGCGGTATGCTTTTGATGTGTAGGCACGAGGAAAGAGGGGTAGTTGGGATATTCCATTGCTTTGTAGGTATAACAATCTGTGTAACACTTGACATTTAATCAAAACCAGGGTAAGCGCCCAGTCAAACATTTATCAAACAACGTTTTATTCATTGTTGTTGTCGGACACTTTATTATGTCATGCTCGTTCATTTAATAAATAAATTCTATTTTGAACGTTTCATTAATATAATAAACCTTGTTAATACAAATATGTAATACAACACCCCTAACATATAATGGAATTACCCTCGCGAGAACAGTTTAGTTTTGAGTGTAGTTTCTGGATTCAAGTTTGAATTGCTCGCTGACTATAAAATTATTGCTATTATGCCAAAGCGTGTAGACGGAGACACTCGGAAGGAGATTATTCGTCTTTTCTTTGATGGAAATAGTTTGCGAATGATCGCCAAGGAAGTTGGACTAGCGAGGGCAACGGTCCAAGGGATTGTGAGGCATGTCCGTCGCACCGGTTGGATACGTTTCGACAAGAGTAGTGGCCGTCGTCGACTGAAATCTACACAGGAAATCGTTGAGTTTATGGAATTCCGTCTCTTACAGAAACCATCCCTAACGGCAAAGGAAATACGCATGTCTCTCTTGAGGGAAAATATTTGCGTACAGGAAAATTTGCCTTCGGTGCGTATGGTACATCATATAATGAAAAGTGATTTGAATTATTCGTTCAAAAAAATAAGTCAAACTCCTACTGAGCAAGTTACTGAAAGAAATATGGAACGAATATTACAATATATAGACACTGTTTCTCAGCTTGATCCACAAACTTTGCACTTTTTCGACGAGACTGGTGTAAAGAGAACGACGCCAAATCGCAATTACGGTCACAGTTTACGCGGTCAAAGAGCTGTCGAGTTTCAACGCTATGCTTCTGACGTCAATTTTACAGTGAATCTCTTACACAACGCCTGAGGTGTAGTAACTTCAACATTTTAGACGGTCTT